GGGGGGGGGTGATGGAAAAGAGGACCTGACAGCCTCTGAAAGATAGAGAGGAGAGAGAGGAAGGGACTGAATGAGGTGAGGAATAAATGGAGAGAAGAAGAGAGGAGAGCGATGAAGTGAAAATGAGCAGGAGAATACAGAGAGGAAGAGAGAGTGGAGTCTCGCGCTCATCAGTCAGAGCTGCTCATCCGGCGGCGGCTGCTGCCTTTGTCACGGTGACGGATCCTCGCTGTCTGCACGAAGCTCGCCACCAACACCATTACAGCACATTACTGATGTACACACACACTGAAACACACACAGCGGAGCGGGAACAACACATTTAACAAGCGCGCACACACGTGCAGAGGTGGTAGCACAACGAGACATTTAGCAAACACACATACAGGGGTGTTTGGTGTGAAATATACACACAGAGATAAACAAATCTAAATAGATAAATAAATAGATATGTTGTACTATTGATCATACTCTATGTTCTGCAAACGTTATCTGGATTAGAACATGATATCTCAGGAACGCCTCGAGTATTGTTCTTCTAATTTTGATCAAACATCCTCTTGGACTCCCCGATCGGCTGGCATTTCTGCTTTGAAAGTACCTCAATACTTACGCTTAAAGGTAGAGTTTCACTGCCTTCTCTCGTTAAATGTTCAGGCTAAGGCTGAACGATTAATCCATTTCAAATCAAAATCGCGATTTGAAAATGATGCAATTATCAAATCGCAAAGCCTGCGTTGTTTATTTTTCTTGTGTGTCAGTCATCCACACCAATCAGAAGTGCTGTGCTCCACATGTACCAGTCATTGTTAACCAATCAGAAGTGGCCCATGATAGAAGGTGATTGACAGATTGATCCAATCACCTGCCAAGTGCTTTTGAAAGTACCTGCCCTTTTCCAAAATTTTTCCAATGGAGCTTTCCTAGATGGTTTGGTGAAACAAACCATCTGAGTCAGGTTAGTAAGGCTCCATCACATATTCTACATCTATTACAGGGTGAGTCTTAAACTGAAGCTTGACTTTAAAGCAACCCAACGGAAGTTTCATGTAAGTTTAGTTCTTTCACTCGTAGCTCGGGCTGCGGGGGTGCTAGAGACGGGAGCAAGATAGATATATCGCAAATCGAATCGCAATATCCGTCAGAAAAATCGCAGTTAGATTATTTCCCCAAATCGTGCAGCCCTAGTTCAGGCCTGTTTCACCTCTGACAGAAAAATGACTTGTTACATTTGTTGGTTTTGGGGCATCTGTAGGTTTTGCTTTACAGATCTTTTCTTTGCTGATGGATGTGTTGTATTTACCTGTGAGTCTGGGTGACATGAAAGCAGGATAAGGCTGAATCAAATGGCCTTTAAACTTGTTGGGTGATTATTTTACTGAAGCATAGATGTATTTTTTTTATTACAATAATGACTGGATAACTGGAATTTGAACTCTTGGTCAAATTGGCTGTAAATAGATCCGGGTTTTGTGCACAGAACTTGAAATATCTGTCAGCATTATGTTCACTCAGACTGTATTCACATCTGGATGTCATTACATTGTGGGTCAGAACACCTCAAGACACACACACTATCACACACACAACTCACATACAGTCGACAGTGAACTAAGCAAGCATTCACTGAGTCTCATTATTCTGATAAGCACCGTACATAGGTTTTTCACACACACACACACACACACACACACACACACACACACACACACACACACACACACACACACACACACACACACACACACACACACACACACACACACACGCATGCTCATTTGGCAGCAGTGCAAGAACAAAAACCTGCAGAGACAGTAATCGCACAAAACTCACCCAGACATAAATATCTCATTATCTATACACAGACACACACAAATGTGTTTTTACTTTAGACACACACACACTTTCTCTCCCTCTCTCTCTGTCTTCGATCTTCTCACTCTCTTTTCTTGCTTTCATCAAATCCACGCTGACAAAAAGCAGCACATGCAGCTACACTAAGCAACAGCTGCTCAATGGGTGATATAGTGTAAGACTGAGTGTTAACTGTGTATGAAATGCTAACGAAGCTCTGCCATCTCCTTGTCTCCACAGTACTACGAGATGTCTTACGGTCTCAACATCGAGATGCACAAACAGGTAAGAGAGAAAGTTTTTGGCAGTTTTTCTCAGTCTTCACTCACTGCTTGTTGTGAGTTTGTGTGTCTCACTTTCTGCGTAGAAGCTGCATTTTTTGAGTAGGCGTTATGAAGTGAATGTTATTTTACCCACACAAACATTGTATTCCAGTGTGTCAGTTTGTGTGGGTGGCTGTTTTACTATATTTTCGTGAACCTGTCCTCGTTATTATTTTGTGTTAGGACTTAACGGCCTCCATAAATGTAAAAAAGGTGGACAAATTAAAACAAACATGTACCATAGTAGGGGTAAACACAAAAGAAACCTGTATATTTCCACAAAAAATAAACAATAATTCATGTCTTTTGGAGTTTATATTGTTATTGTTTCTTAGTGTTTTCTTTATTCTTACAATTCTGTGTATTAAGGATGAGCCGGGAAAACGTAGAGACTCATCTTTGTAACTAAAGTAACTTAGCACCAATAGTTTTTTCTCTCTTTTACTTATTACTAATGATTAGGCGCATTCACACCGCAGTACTTTTCCCACAAAGGTTCATGAGAACTTAGTTCATCAGAACTCTTTAGTTCTGATGAACTAAGTACAGATCGCGTTCACACCGGAATAAATCCCTGGGGGTGGATTAGGCAAATGAAGCCGCTGACGTCACTTCTTCTTCTTCTGCTTTGGGTTTACTGGCAGGCCGCAAACAACTTCACGCCGTATACTGCCGCCCGAAGTCCCCGGCCGGAAGTCCCCGGTTGTTGGGGACTGGCTTCAGTAGAAGCTGCTGGGACTCCCAGCAGCTTCTACTGAAGCCTTCCGAGTAAATCGCCAGAACGCCGACACCTCCTCATCTCCACCGCTCCCATGTTTTATTTTGTGTTGCCATAAATTAGTCTCTCTGCGTTTCTGCGCTGGGCTAATGCTAATGCTAATAATGCTAATGCGAGGATAATAAAATGGTGGCTTCACAACACTTTTTTTTGAGTTTTACGGGGCGTGGTTTGCAATCCGCCCAGCCAATCAGAAATATAGCTCTTTTCTCACAAGAGAGCCGCATGAGAGTCCCTGCTCTCTAGCAGGGACGGAAAAGGGGGTAAAAAGGTTCTCATGAACGAATTTTAGCTCCGGATCTTTTTGGTGTGAACGCGACATTTCGGAACTATATCGGAACTAAAGTGGGAAAAGTACTCCGGTGTGAACGCGGCTAATGATTCAGCAACAAGTGGTTTCAACACTGATTTCTGAATGACTGATTTTATTAGGTTTTGTAGGGGGTCACTGCAAACCCTGTCGTTTACCTCTTCATGTCTCTTATCTTTTATACATAGGCATGAAGCAGCAGAGTGCGCTTCCTGTACAGTTATGATATTGTGAGGACAGCGTTTCACTCGGCTATTTTGAAACTAATAAGCGCTAGCGGCTGATGTGAGACTTTGGGTATTATTTTACGATTAAGATGGCTTTTAAAGACAGAAACATTTGCAATGGAAAATGTGTGTTTGACAGAATTAGTGGCAAAGACAACTGTAATTTCAACTTTATCTAAAGACTCTGATGTATTTAGAGCAGAGTTGTTCTCTTGCGTTATGCTAAATGGTAAATGGACTGTATTAACTGTTGACTGCAAAGGCTTGGATCAGACGCACAACCTATCAATTGAGTCCAAACTAACCTCACAGCAAGTTTTATGTCATACAATTGTTCTGGTTTCTCAGTGTATTCTTGGCTGAATTAAGCAGGCTCTTAAATTCCCCTGTAAACAAAGCATGTAATTTCAATATGTATATGGCTCACAGTAACTATAGGCTTGACAAACGTATGTTTTACAGAAGTGTCTCGACAGACTTGAGGTGAAGTGACACTAGATTGTGACTTCGCTTTTATCTACAGCAGCGTTTTGGTGGGTGGTCCTCACCAGGGGGGCTTCAAACAGCCCAAAGGGGAGGCTCAGAAAATGGAATTAAAACCAAACATTGATGACATTAGATATGAAGAAAATATCATATAGAAAAGCCTAAGATACGTGTGTGAACAAAACTGCATAATTGCATGGTTGCAGTTAAAACGGTTTTCAACTAAGTGAATTTAAACAACTCAAAAATGCAAAAAAACATACTTGTTAATGTTATTTAATCCAATATAAACAAGATTATTTGAGCTTTTAGTTGAATTACATAGCTCAGATACAGTTGTTTGGAAGTTTTGACCACTTTCCAACAATCAGAAACCCATTAATCCTGAGGAAAAAGAATGTTTAATATATAAGTCTAAAGTTATGTTAAACAGCATTATCAGGCAATTTTCCCACATTTGTCTGAGGGATCAAATAACATAATCATGATCCCAAAGCCATCCAGGAATTGACCAGCAAATAGACTTAAGGAGTTTTCCAAAGCTTTGGGTCAAACCCAGATTCAAAGCAAAAGAAAGGGTTTTTTCTTAACAATGTAAAGCCCGAATCCCCGGTATAAAGAGAAAGAACAAGGTTACTGTAGATTACCCTTCATCCTCAAAGTGACCCGGTATTCTTGAGCGAAGAAGACGCGTGTGTGATGAGCAGCGTGTGCTCTCAGGAGTCGCTGAAAGCTTGTCAGTTTTCACACCACTTGCTGCTAATTTGCTGTCTGAATCATCACGCTGCAGAAAAAAGGGAGACAGTCAAATTGCAGACATGCAGATAAATGTCCAGACAGACAGAAAGACAGACAGATGGATGGCAGACATGAGATCTGTTCTGCTGTGTTCGTGTCAGATCCTTGCAGATAGGCAGAGTCATTACCCAGCTGAATGGCGTCTTCCTTTAAGGTGACTGTCTGCGTCCCCCCCCTCTCTTAATCTGTCTTACTGTCATGCTAACTCTGCGGTGGATTCAGGCACCGTTAAAAAAGACAAGAGGGGATTTCTTTTTTTCCACATTTTACAAAGAACTCCCAGCATGCCCAGCGTAATGCATTTAGAAAAGCAGCTCATTGTTTGAACTGTTCTCTAAAAACGCCCTCAAATGAAAGCCTCCGCACTTTAAACTCATAATCATTTTGTCATTTTATGATCAAGGGAATTATAGCATAGAGACATCCAACAGTGGGTTTCTGTCCAAATACGTGTCGTGCAGTGTACATACTTAGTCCCTGACTGATCAAGCCTTGAAGTTAAGCATGATGCAAGATGACTCTCGGTGACACTAACATGAAATGGCAAGACATGTTTGTGTAGAAGGTTTACCTTGACTCATATATACAGTGCATACATTTGATAAGGATATAAGTAGACACACACATCTCAAGATGCTGTTATAATAAATCCATTTTCATTCTTTAAAAAGACCTTGGAGTTTTCTTAAGATGAAGTGGCACTGCATCGTTCTGCAAGAGGGTTTTATATGTAGATAATGATTCTTAAGTAAGTGCAATTTCCTTTCCTTTCTGAACAGATTCAATGAAAGCTTCGCATTTCGTTGACCTACGCCACCAAACCATAAACGCACAGAAAGCTGTGCTTAAGTTACAAAAACGAACTAAAGGCATGTTATTTCTTTTTTAAAGAGAAGACCTTGGAGTTTACTTGTGATTTGTGTTAGGTAAAGTGGCACTGCATTATTCTCCAAGGGGGTTTTATATGTCGATAATGATACTTCACCTCCTTTTCATATTATGTGACTCTACACCACCAAGCAATAATGCAGAGGAAGTTGAGCTTTAGTTACCAAAGTGTTACCCAACAGTGTAGACGTAGGAAGAGGCTGGAAACAAAGCCGGGCAGAGTTCGACTGTCAGCTCTTGTCACTGAAAAGCAGAAATGTTCTGGGGTGCTGGCTGCACCTCTGAGACATGGAGGGAGGAAGAGGAGGAGGAGGAGGAGGAGGAGGAGGGGGATACGTTTGGAAGTTGACAGAGGGAGGCCAAGGAGGGATAGCGTGGAGAAAAAGGGGAACGAAAGAGTGGTAGAAGGGGTTTGTGGTGGGGGTGACAGAAGGAGATCAGGGGAGTGGGAGTAAAAAAGGAAATACATGAAGAAGAGGTTTGAGTCAGGGACTAGGAGGTGAGAAGAGCAGAATATAAAAAGTATGTTTGAGAAAAACAGGATTGCTGGTAAAAAGGTTTAACAGGAGAGACGGTGAGGCAGGCAGTACAAGAGAACTTACAGTATCATAGATAGAAAATGGAACAGAAGAGCGGAAATTGACAGAAATAGCATAGAAAGGAGACGAAGGTAGGACGAGAGTGTGATAGAATATAAAATGAGGGAACTGATATTAAAAAAAAAAGGACATCAAAAGGAGACGTGATGGGAAAAAGAGATACCAAGAGGAGTGGATGAGCACAGAAGGAGAGGTTGTAGAATAGCAGAGAGGAGGGGAAAGTGAAGGGGGTCGTTTTAGAAGTAAGATAATTAAAGAAAATGAGCACTTTGAAGATACTGTGAGGAGGAGAGTGCAAGGGAAATAAAAGTGAGAGATGGCGGGAAGAGCTAATGTTGGGAGAAGTGTGAGAGCAAGCATGAGAGGATGGAGATTAAGTGAACGCATGAAAGAGGGGAGGGTAAACAGGAAGCCCGAAGAAGAGACGGATGAACAGAGAACAGACGAGGGGTGGAAAAAGAGATGGAAAATTAAAGCAAAGGAAAGTAACGCAGGGAGAAGGAAAGAACGATGGATGAGGGCAGTGAAAGAAAAAAGGGGAGACGGAGAGAGACATCAAGGCAGGGAGGGGGAGGCTTTGAGCTGCAGTGAGAAATAATGAATCATGAATAGATTGAACTCTTATTTCCTCTCCTCCAGCTTCCTCCTAACATCCTGTCGAGATCACTGCCTCTCTTCCTCACGCTCCGTCATTATCAGTGGCAGGGCCATCTCGTGTCCCGCCATTAATTGAGCTGTAACAGTCATCCCGCGCCTCCCTTTTAGCCTCTCTTTTTCCCCCTCTCTCTCTCTCCTGATTTCCACCCCCTCTTTCACTATCTCGTTTCCTTTCCAATTTCCCTCCCTTCCTCTTCTCTCTTCCTCTTTCTCAGATGACTGTATCCGAAAGATAACATCTCCCCTCCCTCCTCGTTTTAAGCTGATACAT